AAAAAAAAGGTTTAGACAAAATTTACGTGTTTTTGGACGTAGAATTCGAATCTGCAGTAAAAAATAGGGGTTCCCATTTAAGATTTTAAAGTTGTCCCCCGTCCCACCCACAGGGGTGGGGGTGGGGGGTCAATTTTGGTATCATTCGATAGCTCTTTCAAAAATAGGAAATACGTATTTTTCCGTTTTCCGATCCACCCACAATTTCTCGGGATATTCAACCGTTCCGGGACTTTTAGACCACCCTGTATATGTATACCTACATTATGTTCAGACATGGAAGGTTTAAGGAAATATAAAGCATTATATATATATATTGTATAGTATGACAAAAGTGAAATATTATCTTTGTCAATAAATAAATAACAAATGGCTAAATTATTAGACAACCCAACTAGTAGATGGTTTATTTAATAAAAATTAATCCGGGAATAATTTTTATTAAATAAACCACCTGCCACGTGGGTCGTCTATTAATTTCGTCTTTTGTTATATATATGTATAATTATAAAATGTTTAATTTTTTTATCATATTTCTTCTTTAGGCTCTGAAAGATTTACTCTCTCAATCAAGTAGTGGCAAAAAAATATTGTCACAAAAACGATTAACTCAGTCCGACCGTAATAAAATTTGTCATATAGTTATTGACACACTTTGTAAATCTATGAAGTATGTATTATAATATAAACGTTCAGTGCACTTTATTTATTAACATTATTAAATATTATTTACTTATGAAAGTTTACTTTAAAATTATAGAATAACTTCTGACCAATTGAAAGAGTGGTCTGAAGAGATAGTGTTTTCACGTTTGAAAAACCGTCAACCTACTACATTCCGTGTAACACCAAATTCAAACGACTTGCTAGTGGTAAAAACTTTGGGACAAATATAATAATCTTAAGAAGTACATTAAGAAAGAAGGAAAAGAAAACGTTGTAACAGAAAATATTAAATTAATTTCTGACTCACACGAGACATTGCTTAAGTTGCGTGCAATTCAACCGAATGATCCAAATCTTTAGTCTTCATGGCTTCCGGATGGTTGCCGCGTCTGTTTGCAGTGTGGTGCCGACATTTCGCAGGCGTTGCAGTCTGCTTCATCAGGGCTGGGAGACTCTGATACTGAGCTCCCTCGCGTTGCGCTAGTCCTTTTATACTCGTTCTTGGGGGGGGGGGGGGATAGTCAGGGGGAGGGGGTGGTCAAAGGGAGGGGGGTCAGCCTATGCCGGCTGACAGTTTTTTTAAAAAACCGGGAGGGCGGTGTGCCATATCGGGCTCACCTGATAGCCTTTGATAGCGATTCAGATTGTCAGGGTGTTTCAAGATTTCTATGCCTTCGCGGTTTTTCCGTGCGAAATAGCTTTGGGACGGGGCCAGCATGGTGGCTTTGTCGAACTGGATAGCGTGTCCGGTCTCGATCTTGTGTTCGGCTAGAGCTGATTGTGAGAAGTGGCCGTATTTGGTACATCGCTGGTGTTCTTTGATTCGTGTACTAATCTTCCTCCCGGTTTCTCCTATGTACACTTTGCCGCAGGAGCATGGGACCTTGTAAACCCCTGGGGCTGTCAAAGGGGGTCTCCGGTCCTTGGGATTGGGGAGCATTCGTTAGAACTTGTTGCAAGGTTTGAAAATCGCTTTGATGTTGTGTTTGCTCAGGATTCTGCTGATGCGGTCCGTGGTGCCTCTGACGTATGGAAGTACTACTGCCTTAATCTTCTCTTTCTCTGTCTCTGGTGTCGTGGTGTTGTTCTGGCCGGATTCCTTGTTGGTCAGCTTATTGATGGTACGGTTGATGTTTCTGCTGCTGTATCCGTTCCTGGTCAGGGTTCGGTGAAGGTGGTTTAGCTCTCCGTTCAGGGCGGCTGGTTCCGAGATGGAGAGTGCTCTGTGGACTAAAGAGCTGATTACCGAATTCTTTTGGGCGGGGTGATGGTGGGAGTTTGCGTGGAGGTATCGGTCCGTGTGCGTTGGTTTGCGGTAGACGTTGTGACTTAGGGTGCTGTCTTCGTTCCTACGGACCAGGACATCCAGGAAGGGGATTTGGGAATTCTGTTCGGTCTCCATTGTGAATTGGATGTTGGGATGTTGGGAGTTGATGAAAGTGAGGAATTGAGGTAGAGTTTCCCTTCCGTGGTTCCAGATGACGAAGGTGTCGTCCACGTACCGTAACCATGTGAAGGGTTTTAGTGGGGCCTTCTTCAGGATTTCATTCTCGAAGTGTTCCATAAAGATGTTTGCGATGATGGGTGATATCGGGGATCCCATTGCTGCTCCCGTGGTTTGTTCGTAGAATTCTCCTTCGAACTGGAAATAGGTGGAGTTGAGGCAGTGTTCTATTAATGGGAACAGGGTGGATGGAATCTCTTTGGATGTCCTGATGATGTCCAGAGTGTCTTGGACTGGGACGTTGGTGAACAGGGAAACCACGTCGAAGCTTACCAGGATGTCGTTGGGCTTGGTTTTGATCTTGGTTATTCTGTTCACGAAGTCCATTGAGTTCCTGATGTGGGAGTCGTTGGGGCCGGTCAGTTTTTTGAGGGGTTTGGTGAGGTAGCGGGCTAGTTGGTAGGTGGGGCCCCCGATGTTGCTGACGATAGGCCGTAGGGGGACTGATTCTTTGTGGATCTTCGGAAGGCCGTATAGTCTGGGTGCTGAGCTGTCGCTGGGGGTCAGGTATTTCGTGGTTAGCGGAGGGAGGTTCGCCTTTTTGATCAGGGAGGTTTTCTTCTCTACGCTGGAGGTTGGATCGCGTTTGAGTTTTTTGTAGACTTGGGCGTCTGACAGCAAGGTGTTGACTTTGTTGTGATAGTCTCTTTTGTCCATCACCACTGTCGCATTGCTTTTGTCTGCTGGTAGAATGAGGATGTCGTCATTCTGTTTTAGGCTTTGAAGCGCTAAGCGCTCTTCCCTGTTGATGTTTTGGCTAGGAAGTTTGGCTTTCCGGAGGATATGGGCTGACTGTTGTCTGATGTTATTGCCTGCTTGAGTTAGAAGGTGGAAAATGGCAGTTTCTATTTGGCTGATGATCTCTTCCGTCAGGATTCTGGTGGGGGTGACTGCAAAGTTTTGAGAAGTGCGTAGCCAATCAACTTGCAGCTTTTGTGGAACAGCTATATTGATTGGCTACATATTTCGCGGAATTAGAACTTGGACCAAGTACTAGCATCATGGACCCAGGCCTTAATTCGCCTGAATAGATACAGAGTTTCTAAATTTCTAAACAGTTGCTATTCTTTTCATCGGTGCTGTCGATACGTTATTGGCCGAATGAGATGTATTTACAGAATGACGGTAGAAGAAAGATACGCGTTATACATATATAAATATCCATTGTTATATTTGGCGTAATTTGTTGATGATATCATTACTTTTGTAGAGAAGATAGTTTTGTAGAGAAGATTTTTGTAGAGACAATATTTTTGAAAAGGTATTTTTGGAAAGATTTTATAAAATTATTTTTGTAAAGAAGATACTTTTGCAGGAAAGATATTTTTGTAGAGAAGATACGTTTGCAGAAGAGATAGAGTAACATTGGAGCTTATACTTGGCGCATTTTTACCTTTTTTAAAAAGGTAAGTTTTTTTGGGTGATATCGCACATTTTGTAGTGTTAAATACATAGACATAGAAGATAGACCCAGTATACGTGTTTCCAATGTGGCACGAACATAACAGACAGAGAGGCAAAATAGAGTGGCCGCAGGAGGCATGAGAGGGAGCGAGAGACAAAATATTGTCTTGCGCAGACAATGTTTTGTCTCTCGCTCCCTCTCATGCCCCCTGCGGCCACTCTATTTTGCCTCTCTGTCTGTTATGTTCGTGACAACTTTTATTAAGGGGTCTGACCACCCTGAAATTTTTCAAAAATCGAATTTTTTCTCTTATAATTTACTTAGAAGTTTTACCAACAATACGCGCGCGCGCCGCGTGGTAAAGTGCGTTACAACGATGTCAGAGAATTAGGTGCTCGAATGAATTCAGTGCCAAAACAGTCCTCAGATATCCTACTTTCAAAAACACAAAGATCTGATGTTAGTGCTAAGTGTATTTTGTGGAAAATTAAGTAGTTTAATCTGTCAGTCCGCGCGTCGCGCTTAAGTGTTTTACACCAATGAAGAATTTTGTTACTCGCATAGGTATGGTATTGAAATAATTTTTGCATGCTATGCTGTTAATGTAAATCAAGATGCTCGTATGTATCATTCTGTGCATGGTTTTATGTAATTCTGTTGCTCTAATAATTCGTTTCTGTACATCTCCGTGAACTCGTATAATTTGTCGCATGATAAACTGCATCCCTTAATCATAAAGAGTCGGGAAACTTTTCGTTCACGACTGTACGTGTCGATCATTATCGATCCAGTGTGCCGCGGATACATCAGGAATTAGAGCTTTTAGTACTTGGCGCTTTCGTCGCGACGTGTTTCGATACGTAGTAATGCCGCGTGGTATCCCAGTACTAGTGTGCTTTTGTTTTGATCGCGTAATCAGATGTGACGTCATTTATTGTGCGATCACGGTGCAAGTAGCTTCGCGTTTACTTACTGTCGTATCGTACGATAATTGAGTGTTGCGTAGTATTTTTGTTTTATTTGTGTATATTTTATTTAGGTGTAGTTTGTATTGTTCGTCGTACGTAATCTTGTTAATCGTACGTAACATTGTGCATTTCTAATGTGAAAGTGACGTCATTTATAAAGTGTGCACCATCTATAACTTCGAAGCATCATCATGCCTGTACGTGGAAGACCTGCAAGAATAGATAAGCATGCTTTGATTGAAATATTAATGAATTATAAAGACCGCTTAATAGTGGATGGTCAGAAATTATTTCGAAAAACGATCCTCTTTGGATAACGATAGCGAGAGAATTTGAAAATAAGATGACCGCAATTAGTTTATATACATTTGTTTCGTGCAATAAATATCACATAAGGGATAAATTGTCTGACCGTCCTTCTATCTTTCCTTGTCAGTCAATGGATATTTTAGAATCTGATAATCCGGAAGAATCGATTGTTGCTTCTAGAGATGAATCTACATTAGTTAATGATTCCACGATAAATATTTCTGATATGCCCTGCGACGTTTTTATTTTTAATCTCTTCCGTCCTCCCGTTGCACGTGGACGGACGGGCGTTGCCGTCCCGCTCTCGCTGTCGCGCGCGGGTCTCAATCGGAGGTGCGCGCCGACGACGGGAGTGCGGTCGCCGGGCGCGAGAAGCGCGGGATGCGGACGGATCGAGACGGTCGTCAAAAACCAAGGGGGAAGGAATCCCGCGGGAAAAAGATAACGCGCCGGGAAGGAACAGGATCTCGGTAGCTCCGCACGTACCGTGCCGAAAGCCGAAGGTTCGACGCGATAAACGAAGATTGGGCGCCAGACGCGGTCTTTCACGCGTCACGTCGCGATATCCGCGAAATTGCGCGAACGATAGGTATCGGCCCTCGTCACGGGCAGGCTAGCTCGCCTAACAGTAGAGGGGCTGGGCGGTGGTTGACACCAAAAGATTCCAGAGGCTGCGGGATTTAATTAATTCTCACGACGGACGAGACACACGAAGAGAGACGTACACGAAAAGAAACTCGCAAAATAAAATAAATTAAATCGGGTTTATTACAAAGCGGTGTTAATAAGCCGGTTAAGTGGCTGCAGTAACGGGCGGCATCGTCGGTGATAATCATACTGGCCCCGAGACCGGGGGAGTAATTCGGTACGAAACTCTAAGCAATCCGGCGCGAACCCAACGGCAGAAATGATCTCCGTACACGATAAACCCTACTCGAAAGACACGGACGCATTCACAATAATTTCTTCGCGAACGGTACGAATACCGTCGCACACGCGGCACTCGGCCGGGGCGCTTCGCCCGCGAGACTGGGTACTCGGACCGATGGATCGGCCCGCCTTACAACGACGTGCAACCCTACGCCGGGCAGTCCCCGACGGTTAACTACGACGAGCCTTTCACTCTCTCCCGGCCGCGCCGGCCGCGTTGGTCGGCAGGGGATCTCGCTCAGGACGCACCGTCCGCACGAAACCCGCCACCGACAACGGCGGAAGCGGCACGGGGCACTGCAGACTCTCACACAGCCGTTCGCAATTTCTCGGTCGCCACGGCTCTACGGCGGCGTACCCTCACGCCGCGCATGCACGCGACATCCCCGCGGCATGCGTACCATGCGTGATCTCGCGCGACGCAACCCTCGCACTGCGAATCTCCAGATCGGCGACAAATACTCAACGCGATCGCGAGACTCGACTCACACACACACACTCGCTCACACACACACAATTGAGATCTGTGCCCTGCAGGCTGCGGGTACCGCGGCTGCTTGTCGTCGCGACCGGGACACCAAAAAAATCTAAAGCCGACGGGCCGTAGCCCGGGTAACACCAATCGCGAAATTTTCCCGGCGACGACAGAGCAACACGGGCCCGGACGCAATCGTACGGGGCGAAACGGACGGAGGACAATCTCACCGGCACCTCGGCTCTCCCGGGATCGTCAGGCGGCAACGGCTTGTCCTGATCGGGACCTCGCACTTCGTGGCGGTAATACGGCGGCAGCGGCAGACCGGGGTCCTCACTCTAACAAGTTCGGCAACAGGCTAATCTCCGAATTTCCGCGATCGCGGATCGATGGTTCGCCCCCCCCCCCCGCGGCTGCGCACGCGAGGCGCGTGCCCCCGCGGCCAATCGCGCGGCGGCACGCGACAACGCCGGTAGCGTTATTCGCAAGACCGTGTCGCGGGCGCAGGGACCCGCGGTATCGCCAAATTTTATTGCAGCGTTCTCTCGATAGGGCTGTCGCAGCGGCTCCCCCGCTGACGCCCCTCCGGTAGTGTCACGGGCCCTGGGCTCCTTCCTCCCGGCGCGTTGCTCCGCGCGCTCCGCTCTCGATCCGCAAACGCCTTTCCACCGTGCTCGCCGCGGAATTTGTCCATTAACCGGGCCTCTCATCTCTCCTCTGTCCTTGCGTCCTTCCGTACTCACACGCTCGTATTCATAATAACAAAAAAAAACAAAATAATCAGCAATAACGTCGGAACAACAGAATCTATAACGGTCGCCTTTCTGGAGACTGCCGCACGGTTTCCCCTAATCTCGGCCTATTGCGTTGAGGGAGGAACCCGGTGGACGCGCACGTGGGACGGCAACGTCACAGCCCGTAAATAATGTTGATGGTGTATTAACATTTACTATTACCATGGCAAAGGCTGATTTTAATGCAATGATAATTCAGAAAACGTACAGGCGAAGAGAAAAAAGTCGACCTCCTTCAACGCGTCAATATACAATATTGCAACCTGGTACGTGGCAGCAAGCATTTACCGAGAAGATTTGGGAAAGTGTGAAACTGTCACGTGGCTTTAACTTTAAGCGACACAAATTAATGAACAATGGAGAATTGGGATATGGTTCATGCAAATGTGGCTCACTAATTAAATGTAATTTTAATAATACGAATGAACTAATTACGGAAATAAAATGTAAATTTATTGAAGGAGAAAAAGAAGGACGCTGTGGAAAACGATATTTAAGAAATCCCGTTAGACAAGCTGTTATGAAAGAATTAGAAACGAAAAGTGTAATGAAATATAGAGTCAAAATGGCAGACAAATTAATGGAAAGTCATGATGATGTTGAACCTCCGCATTTATTTGATGCAAATGTTATACGGGTTGCTAAACAAAATTAAAAGAAAAAAGTTATTTTGATAAAAATGCAATAAAAGCTTTGGAAATTATGCAGTTAGGCCCGTTAAAGAATGTCATTCATAATGTTGGTTTAAATCCATTTTTTGTACATTATTGGTCTAACTTTCAATTGGATGTGTATAGAACATACACATTGGATGAGACAGCTTGTATTTATATTGACGCAACTGGAAGTATAATTAAAAAACTTAAAAGATGTGATAAATCAAAGACAGGACATACCTATATTTTTATATAATTGTGTAGTTAATACAAAAAAGTGGACTTTTTCCAGTAATACAGATGTTGTCGGAAAGACGCAATACAAATTCCATTCATTACTGGTTGTTCGAGAT